AGAGAGAGAGAGAGAGAGAGAGAGAATTTTACTACGTAAAAAGAAAAAAAAGAAAAAACAAGGAAAGAGTAAATTGGAGAACGGAACGATCGACGATGGGGGGTCGAAATGGAGGAGAATAAAGAGCGAAGGTAATGGAACAAAGATTCTACATTCCAGAGCATCGATTTTCACCTTGTGCACTTAGGCGGTTTTTATACATTCGCGTGACTCGCAAAGTCTTTCCTCTCGCTAATCAAAAAGCTTTAATGAAATTCCACTCGATTCAAATGCTACAATTCGTTCGAGGTGAAATCGTCCGAGATAATACATCGGCCGTGGAAACTTATTTTGCGCACAACAGTTCGAGGGATGAAATGTTCGGAAGAATTAAAAAATTTCCTCCTCTCTCGTTTGAAGAATAAAATTATTCTCGTTAAGTATTTGATATAAGAAATATCTATCTATCCATCTGTCTAAATTTTATTAAAAAAAAAAAAGAAATAAAAGATTCGATAAAAAATATCGATAATACAATTCGATATAAAAGAGTTCGAGACACTCGAACCTCTTAATCCAAGGGGGAAGAATTACAATAATAATGGGATTGAAGAGTAACAGTCGTTGCGAAGCGAAACGAAATATCACGATTAAATTTAAAATTCATGGAAATATCGGCTCATGAATTTCGTTCAAATTGAATTTATATATATATATATATATATGTGTGTAGAGCATCGAGAGATTGAAATGAAAGTGTCACTTAAACGTGAACAGCACTTGACCTCCGGTCATTGGAAAAACGAAGTCGAAAACATTTCGAAACAATGCTCGACAAGTTCGATACCGCGAAAGGCTCTAAATGAGCATCGTTACGGAAGAAACCAATAAAAGGACGGAACGATCCGATCGCTTGCCGAACAACGTAGCATGAACAGCCCTCAAAAGGCCATCTGGGAACTGGCAATCGAACTGGTATCGATGAATGCGAATCAATTTTCATTGGAAAGGCAATTGATATCGGTGAAACTTGCACTTTTTCTCCTCTCCCTTGTTCTTCCTTTCTTTCTTTTTTACTTTTTTTTATTTTTATTTTTCCTTTCTTTTTTAACTGTTTAAATAACACATTGATCCAGCGAACGCGTTGCACAAGAATTCTTATACATCCGAGGAATAATAATCGGATTTAAGGTTAAAGACGTGCGTACGGTTTCTTTGATAGGGAATTTTAAACGATGTAAAGGTATTCGTAATCTTGTAGGGAAGAGGAGCGTGGAGCGTAATCCTGACGATCGACAGTGTGCAAAAATCCGACACGGAGAAGGAATATATCTTGGAAGCCCGGAACGGCGAAGGAGCTTACGAATATCGTATCATTTTGTCGACAGCCACAGAACCTGCAGGTAAAACCATTCAGACCCCTCCCCGACTCGATAATCGTAAAATTCACTACTGATCTCACTGTGCACGAAGAGTGTAGCGTGCAAATCACTTTATTTTTTTTCGTTAAAAAAACGAACACCGTAGAAAAAAAAGAAAAGATAGAAATAGAAATAGAATTTCATTCGCGATGCGATAATTTCAAAAAAAAAAAGAAAAAAAAGCAGACTCGTGGAATCGTATATCTCAAAAAAAAAGGAAAAAAAAATCGGAGACAAAAATATAACGTTATAAACGTTAAAAGGCGACAGGATTAATTTTTTTTTTTTTTTTTTTACACTCGATATTAACGATGATCGAATATCGTCTCGTAATAACGAGAACGAGAATAAAGACTGATTTGAAATTCATTGGTAGCTGTCGATCATTGCTGTTAGTTTTCGCACTTGGCGCGTTCGTCACCAGCATTTCATCCGATCGAGCATACTCCACCAGCTGTCTATCGGTTCACGTCATACTCGTTGTCACTTTCATCCTATCGTACTTTCATCACGTGGTCGTGGCCGTCATTGCGAATACACATCGAATATATTATTATTATTATTATTATTATTATTATTATTATTATTATTATTATTATTATTATTAGAATCATTGTTATCACTTTTTTCTCTCCTTTTTTCTCTTTTCTCCGTTTTTCTCTCCTCTATCTATCTCATATCCGCTACGTTATTTCTAATCATATCGATTACCTTCACCGCATGCTCTCACCGCAGGGCCGTTCGGTCACTTCTATGGTAAGCTCTCCGAACACATGCACGCACTAGGTAATGTCATTCTTTCAAATTATTATACGTAAGTAGTCGATGTAGTTCTCCTTGCGTCGAGTTCCGTAAAAATAAATAAATAAATAAATAAAGTTTTTCATCTCTTCATATATCGTTTCCCTCGATATTTTCTTCGAAATTTACAATAATACAAAAAAGAAGGCAAAAAGAAAGAAATTGCAAATACTTTTCGACCGGTTTGAAAAATCGAGACGATATTCTCTATACGTATATATTATATATTTTTTGTCAAATATCCAAACGCTATCTGTCTCAAAGCGTTATCTCGTTGTTTGTTCAAAGATCGTGCAAAAAGTCGCCGTAAACCGTATCCCGGTTTTTCCGAATTTTTTAAACCGGTGTCATGAATTCGCGCGAAAGTCGGAAAGATAGATTCACGGAAGAATCAAAATGGAACTCCCCGCTACGAGACATTGTTATATATGTATATGTGTGTATGTGTGTGTGTGTGTGTGTGTGTATGACACGTTTGTTATTGATACTAACTGCAAACATGAATGGCAGATCTGTATTTTTCGAATAAACATGACTAAATTTCTGCTCGATCGCCTCTGACGTGAGTCAACGCTTTTTCCGATATTGAACACAGATTTCGCGCCACCGATTTCTTTGCACGCGTTTCTGCATAAAGAATAATCTAAAATTATTAATCTGTTAAATGTTTAAATGAAAAGCTTCGATCGCTTGTTGATTATTTTTACGATATATATATATATATATTTTTTATCTTACAGAAATATGTTCTGCATTCATGGCTCTGCTTCGTATATTTATTACCGATTCAACATTTTTTCAATACAAGACACTATGATTTCCATCATACATATATTCAAGATTAATTAAAATGAAAACGCTAAAGCTTACCTTAATTTCTTGAACGATAGATGCATTCGTGTATAAATAACTGGCGCATGATTTCTAATTCAATATCTTCTCGATTCGATTTTTTCCCAATAATATTTCCAATATTTTTATCTTATAAATGTACGTATATCTTCGTCGTGATATTTGACAATAGACAAAATTACGGCGAGGATATTATTAATTGATAATCGAGGGCATAATCGAGTATCGGTATTTATTATTTATTCAATATTTATTCGATGTGGATGAATTGCAAAAGAAAAAGGGAAGAAAGAAAAAGAAAAAACGTCAATGTGGCTTTCTACGAAATTTCAGGCGTCGATTTAGATGCTGGTTCTATCATCGGAATCGTGGTCGGAGCCCTGGTGCTACTTCTCATCGTTTTCATACTAATTTTTGCCCGTGCGACCGGACGCTGGTGCTTCGCAGGTGAGTGTCACATTTTTCCAATTGATTCGCACTAAAAGTAATTGGAACACGCGATATCCCCTGTCCTTTTTTTTTGGCGATTTTTCGTGTACATTATTACACTTTGATTGATTGACACGATTAAATTGAGAAAATAGGATAAATGAAATAGACGAACGAATTTAAAAAAAAAAAAAAAGGAAGAAACGAAAATTAATTTTAATTGGAATCAATCGTTCGATTACTGTATTAATACTGTAATAGATAACTCCATAAGATATTTCGCGATTATATTTACATCAATGGATAGGATATTTAGAGGTACTTTTGTCTTTAAAAAAAAAAAAAGATATTCGTAATAAAAAATTAGTCATAATACGATGATTTTCAAACGGACAAAATGAGTGGTCGTGCGTGTACGTAGAATGGCGAACGATATCACCCAGTTGTAACTCTTAAAATCGTAAAATTTTAAATGTCTCTTATTTCTTTTACATATCTAAATATTTGTATGTATACAAATGTCTTGTGTGTTGTGCCGCTACCGATAGGACAGCATGCAAGTCGGGCCAAGTAAAGAATAAGGAGAAACAGCAACAATTACCTTGCGATTCCGTACTCTAGGCATGACACTGTCCAGGGGTAAGTCACCTCAGGCAGCAAGAAAAAAACCAGAAAAAAAACCAAAAAACAAAAATCCCCATTTTTTTCAACAAAGCATATTGCTCGTTCCTCGTTTCATCAACAGCTCGCCATTTCTCTCATATTTCCGTGATGTCTGATCATTTTTTCTTTTTTTTTTTTTTTTTTCAATTTAAAATCCTCTTATGATCGTACACCTGGTCTTGGCTAATCGGTGAGAATTAAAAACGGTCGCAACGTTTATCTCTCGAATACGAATATCTCGATATCGCGGAGGAATGATTTCGAAGCGTTGCGAAATGATATTCGCCCGAAATGTGAAACGAACATTTTAATATCTGGTAGAACGACCGTGGAGAAGAAATTTAAGAATTTGCAGATATTGAAATTTACGATATAATCTGAAAATTGCTGTATTATACTATTGTCGAATTTTGGTAAATTCTACAGAAATAGAAGTTGTTTTAAAATTTGTTCGAGAACGAGTGAAAGCTCTATCGATTGATTTCTACGAATCTATCATTTTTTTTTCCATTCGTTCGCACGCGATGAATAAAAAAAAAAAAAATGAGAAAAGGAAAACTTCTGGATAACATTTAGCGGAGAGTCAAAGTTCGATTATTCATATCAAAAATCTGGCGTGTAATCGATAACCGCGTGACGAATGAACAAATCGGAATTTCATTGTTCGGAACGATTCGTTTATCGGCCTGTGAAAAACACAAGTATTTTTGACGATGAATATTCATATTTTTTTTTTTTCAAATCATTGTATTCATCCAATCGATTATCTAATGGCAAGATTCCGTTTAAAAAATCCTAGTACAAATAGTAGAATGTTTAAATAATAAATCCAGAATGCATATTTTTTTTCTCCAATAATCGTTCTTTGATCCTAAGTTTATTTTTTTTTTTTCGTCGTTTTATATAAAACTAGTTAGAGAAGGAAACCCTCCACCCCCCTCCACATTATTTTAATTCGACAAAAATTATTGAGAGAATAAATAAGAAGAATTGTGAAATATTATAAATATTATGAAATTTGGTTTCATTCAATCACGAGCATACATATCTCGATCATTCGTGCATGCACATTGTGCTTAGTCTCAAAGCATGTATTAATACGATGCCTAATTTATGCTCACCCAGTGTTTTTCAAATTCTCTTCTTTCCATCCAAGAAGAAAAAGAAAAAGAAAAAAAATTTAAAGAAGGAAAAAAAGGAAAGAATTACGACAATTAAAAATTCCATTAAAAAAAAAAGTATTTTCCAATGTATTATCCAACTTTTGGATCAGAATTTTATACTTGGTACTCGATTCACGAATGAGAGAAGATCACGGGAAGATCGTTCGATTCGCGATTAAATAGAGAATCGAAGCTGTTTGAAAAACACTGACTCAGGGCACGATTGTAGCGACACGTTGTTCAAGAAATCCCCCGCGGGATTTCTCTAAATTTCAAGACCATCGGGGTCGAACGAAAAAAGAAAAAAAGAAAAGAAAAGAAAAGAAAAGAAAAAGAAAAAAAAAGAGCGAATTCCTTTGCGACAAGCAACACGACAATCGGCGAAGGCAAGTGTGGTGACATTTGTTCGAATTGAAACCAGACCAGATCCCTTTTATCGATGTGTATTCGATTATCTTTCTTTCAATTTTTTTATTCTCACCAAAATGTGGATTACACTTTTCTCTTTCTTTCCGATTAGAAATAATACGATTAATCACACAATTTATAACGATATTATTTCTCACGATTATTATTAAATGATGATCGTATCAAGCATGCTCGTATCGATTCCCTTTTTTTTATTCTTTGAATTTCAATCCCCTCTGGATTTTCCCTCCACGATTCTCGATGTTGACCTTAGATCATAATTAGATGATTACGTGTTCAAAGTTTATCACGTTTACTTACTCACGTTTATTCACTTGCTTGGATTGAATTATATTTATTATTATTATTATTAGTGCGATGACTTGCCTGTGAATGTTTATTTATGATTATTAACACAGATTTCTAACAATCGATCAGATCGATTTCGTTTGCAAACGCCTGAGCGACGCGTCCTCACGAGGGAACCAAAAGTAATCAAAAATGAACGATACACGTTCGTATTCCAAAATAATCTTCTTTATTTAACGTAAAGAAAATTCTACCAATCTAACGATCATCCGCAGGAAGGGAAGTCCATCGCGTAGCTCGCGCGTTTGCAAATATATCCCAACAAATATATCCCTCGCACTTGATGAAAATCGATCGAAAACCAAAAAAAAAAAAAAAAAAGAAAAAAACACGTTAACAACACGAAAACACGGACGACACTAACGCGACAGAGAAAATATTAAATAAAAACGAAACGAAAAAAGAAACAAATACCTCGTCCTCGAGGGTAAACGATATTAAACGATAAAAAAGAACTAAACTAAACTAGAATAAAATAAAATAGAGAGGAGAGAGAGGGAGAGAGAGAGATCCACACACGCACTTTTGCCTTGACCGATCGTGGCGTTGCTTGTTGCAGCGAGGCGTCGGGGCGACGAGGAAGCTGCGAGCGGTGTCGGCGCCGGAAGCGAGGCGCACATCACCCCTGGGGACGAGGACGAAGAGGATCACGACGAGGACCCGCGTATCATCGATGAGAAAATACCGCAGGGCGGCCAGGAGAATCCGATACACGCGAGCACGGAATACGTGAACGGGCGCACCGACGTCAAGGAGGCGAAGAAGGACGAGAAGACGGACACGCCTGTTTAAAAAGAAAAAAAGAAAAGAATCGACCGATCATCGTCGTCGTCGTCGTCGTCGTCGTCGTTTTTCGACGGTCGTTCCTTCTTCTCGCGCGGAAATAAACTGTCACCTCGGTTCGACGATCCTTTTGCAAACCGATCTTTCATCCCGCGAAAAAAAATAATATCTCGTTATTCGTGTATCGTCGTAGATCGAGGTGTTTGGATCGAAATCGTGAAACGGAATGGATTCGAGGGAACGATGCGAAATATTCCAGGAAATGATATTGGTTTTTATAGTATTAATAGACTGAAGTTTTTACTTAGATAACAGTGTTGCGAGATTTTCCTGACGCCATCGATTCGATCCAATTTGCCTTGCGAAACGAACTCCAACTTTCTTCGAACTATTTTCAAAACGCTCGCCCGTTCAATGACGCCGATCATCAACATCCGAGGTTGTAAATGACTAATATTCGTGTATATTCTGCCTTCTTCGCGCGAAAGGGTATTTCAAGGTAATTCTCAAGAGGAAGGTTAACACTTCATCTACATCTCGTCACACGAATCTCGCTATACTTTAGTTTCTTAAGAACGAATCTCTTTCTATTTTTTATTATTATTACTATTATTAATTCTTATTTTTCCTTTTTCTATCTACAATAATATCGCGTATTTATTTTTACACGCGACAACACGAGTATTAATTGTTACTTTTATCGCCAAATGACGCCAAAACCATAAAGCATATACACGAATCCCGCGTTTCATCAAATCTGAACATGTAGCGTCATCTATGCACACTTGCATTTCCTCGTTTCCTTGTACGATTTTTCCGTCTCTTCGATGGCAGCTGCGTTCGTACGTACACGATTCTCCGCTCGTCAACGATCGGGAAACGATCCCTCGATGCCTCGATTAAAAAGAAAAAAGGAAAAAGGAAAAAAAAAAAATAATAAAATAACCGCGACAAGCGAAACGTTTTTCGGTCTCCCTGATCGCCGTGTATAACTTTTGTAAATAGGATTTTTTCGCGACGCGACCCCACCGTCGTCCAATCGGCGGTATATTGTTCACCGCCTTTTCTTTCTTCTCGACGAAACAGACACACACACACACACACAGACACAAACACATACACACGCGCATATACACATATACGCATCACACGAATGGGAGGGAGGATGGGGATAAATTCGCTTCGATCGAGTCATTTCACACTTTATTAAATAATTGTACACAATCAATCACGCGTCGTTGTACCGATCTTGTTAACTTTTCGAGGAGATTTTTTTTCCAACGAAGATGTTTCCTTTTCGAGTTACGCGTTATAGGTTATGAGTTAGGTTATTCACGGTGGCGGCAATAAAGTAAAATTTCAGAAATAAATTTTACAGACTGTACGAAATGGTAGTAAAGAAAGGGACAGTCTGTAACCTATAACTTGTACCTCGTCGATCGTTATTTTGCAAAAAACAACCTTAAAATTTATCGAAAATTTAAAAAAAGATTCCTAAGAGATTCCTAATATATTCATCCTCGAGAAGTTGATTGGAATCGGAATATCGCTAAGGAATAAATCGTTGTTAGGTAACACGCGTTTGCGAGCTGTCCTCGAATAATTCTATTCTATTCTAAATAAATCATCGAG